TAACTCTATCCCAGCCGAAACCAGGACATAATCAAATTTGAAAATCTATGGTTAGGTTGTTACTATTTTTGCTATTGATGTCTATTAAGAGTTTGGGGGTTTTTTACTTTTCATATGAAATGAAATTGAAACTTTTACAAATGAATACATTATTTTATTAAAATGACAGATTATGCACTTTGTCCTAGAGGAACGTAACTGGAAACAAAAGAGAAAAATCCAAATTAAAGTGTAGGCCTAACTAAGGGAATGCAAAAAAGGCAAATAGCCTTTAAATCAAACCCAAAACATAAACATTCAGCAAATGTAAAATGCTCCATGACTGGGTATGCATACAGGAGTTTGGTCTGAGCATAACTGTATTTATACAGTCTTTGTGCAGCTGATGTTGCTGAGAAAAAGAAGGTGCCGATGCAGTCAGTACCCAATTAGAGCAGCAAAAGGCAAGTGGGAGCCTGGTGGAGGAGACAGAAAGAGCTGAACCAGCAGCTGAGATCAAACAGGGTAACCCAGCATTTTTGCTTGGAGCCAGCGTCTTTAATTAAAATCCTTGTATTTCTCTAATAACTTTGCACGCTCATAAGACTTTTTCATTGATTTCTGTTACTTCCCATTTTTTCCTTGATAGATTTATAATGCCCTGACATAATTAAAGATTAAGGGAAACAATAAGAGAGACTGATTAATTGCACACATATATGAAGTGCCCATTCCACCCCATCCCCAACACAGCCTATTGCTATATCGCAGTGAAATACTAGTAGAGATTGACAGTCAGTGTTCTGCACTCCCCCAGAAACCCGTCCCAACGCATGGCACTTTTTTTCAAGACCTTGGTGTTTGCCATTGTCTTTTGCTGTCCCAGCCCCAACTGTGACAGTTCTGTCCAGGCAAACCCTCAGATTTCTTGAGATCCCACAAAGGGTCAGTACGTGTCAGGGTGGGTAGTTGTGCTGACCCTCAAAAGTCTGGTTCAAAACTGCTGCCCAGTTCCCTACCATCTGTCCACCCTACCTCCTGTGGCACCATCTGGAGCAAGATGTCCCCTCTAGGAGCCACCCACTAACATTCATCAGCCTGAACATATGGTTCGATATTTTGGGTAATATTTACCTTTACATTTCACTCGTTTGAATAGGTCTTGCGTCACAGCTATAAAATCAATTGATTGCATTTGGAGGAAAGTTTTTGGGGAAAAAGCTTGCTATCTTTTTGAACCAGTGCAGCTATGTACATTTTCTATAGGGTTACCCCATGATAATGATTGCAGGAAGCTGAACTGTTGAGTTATGTTTATTGGAATCTGAACAATCGGATTGTTTCGGGACTTGAAACAATACATAGTATTGCCTTGTGTTTGTTTTGCTTTGGGGAAAACCTTCATTGCAAACTGTCTTGAATATGAGTCCTTATAAAAGAGCCCACTAAGCTCTTTTCTGTCTTGGTGTGTGGTGCCACTGAAGATATCTGACAGGTCCTCCTCAGAGCTGGACCCTCAATAGCAGTTATAACACAAATACAGCATGCAGTGAACCAGAAGATAAATATGCTATGTTGTGGCCTTTTCCTAGAATGAAATGTTGGCATTTCTGTTGGTATTGTTTGCTTTCCTAGCAAAATAAACAATTAGGGAAGAACAGTGACAAACCTTTGCTGTAATTGTAAATTTTGCAAACCACCTTATAACTTCCTAGTCTTCAGGAAAACTCTAAATGTTCCCTATCCTGAACAGCATGGTAGAGGCCCTCATTAAGCTGGTGCCTAATCATAAGCAGCGTATGCTTTTTGAAGGCATTCTGTTTAAGTATTGTGCTGAAAAGGGGGCCATATCCCTCCAGGTCAGCCCTGGTGTGGGGGGGTGCTCTTGCTTTTTTAAAAAGGAAACATAGTCTGGAATAAATTGTTTTAATCTCTTAAAAAGTTAGGGAATTTAAAAAAAAAAAGGACAGTATCTGTAACTTTATACATTGCACAAGCCTTACTGTGGGGCTCTGGAGGAGGGTGAATAATTTAAATGATTTTGTCCTAGCCTAATTGTGTGAAAACTGCTGAAAAGATGTCAGTAAATTGCTTAAATCCATTGCTGTTGTTGGAGCTCATTTCCCACCGCTGTTTAAGCTACGCAGCCTAGGGAAGCACTATTATCTGCAGCTCAGCTTGAAAGAAGTGTGTAATCCTGCAAATACAGATCTTGGCTCGCTAAAAGTAATAGTTCGTAAGTTGACAAGAAGACCGTGCCTTTTCTAAATATGCCCGGGGTGGTCAGTGTAGTTTGTGGGCACGGACACCAGGCACAGGAGAGGCAGGTCCCTCTTCCCCTCGAGGCAGGGGATTCACCTCCTCGGGGCTTATTTTTGGGGAGGCAGTGCTGGAGGATTCCCAGTACCTCTTGCAGCCTATGGTATGGGATGTGCTGCTGGGCCTTGACCTCTTTGCCCTTTTAAAAGTCTGCCAGGAAACCTCCTCCACAGGGAAGCAATGGTTAAATAGTGATGGTGGACATCTTGACCTTCTCCCAACAGCACCTGGCACTGAGGTAAATAAATTATAATTGAGTTAATTAGATGGCTCATACTAATTGTCTACACAGAGGTGCTTTACACCAAAACTTCCCACGTTTAAGCAAAACATTAAATTGCTGTGGAGCAACAATGGGGAATGCTTTTTAACAGCGTCCTGCCGGTGAGCGGCCATGGTGTGGTATCATGTCCTCTCCTCTTTTCCTGTTGTAACAGCGTTGATTGTATCCACCTGAAATTTGGCTCCTAGGCTCTCTGACTCTCATGCAATTAAAAAAAAAGGAAAAGACAGAAAAAAAGAAATATGCTGCTGGTGCACTGTAATTTTTTAGGGTGTGATAAGTGGGGTGGTGCTGGTGAGGGGAACCTAGACACTGCGACCTCTGCCTGCCGAACCTTCTAGAAGGGGGCACTGAGCATGTGCAGTGGGGAGGGGCCCATAGAGCATACTCAGTGGGAGGGGCAGCCATTTTAGTGCCCCCCCATGCTGCTGCCATGAGGAGTGGTTCAGTGCATAGCCGCGGGGCCTGCCCTGCCGCTGGCAGCGGTAATGCCAGACAGAGGGGCAGAAAATGGTGGCAGAGGAGCGGTCATTTTAAAAAATTAGGTATGCGTGGTCATGAACGGTTGCTGTGTAAAAGGGAGGCAGAGCATTTGGATGGTGCCCCCTTGGCTCGGGGGCCAACTCCTTGTCTGAGGAGTTACACGGGTAAACACAAAGGATTTGTGTCATGGAATGGAATGAACTGAATGTCCTCTGCTTCTGTGCCTCTCCACTGATGGCAGAGGGGGAGACTCTGGAAAATAGGGTCCTCTGTCAAGTCAGGATAAATCTGGGCCTTGTCTCCCTTTGATGTCAAAGCAGATAGTGCCCGGTCCGGTGCAAATCAAAGAGCTATGGACCAATTTCTGAACTGGCAGAAAACAATACGCAGTCACTGACTAAATGTAAATGAGGTCTTCACTCATTTTCATGAGATGAGGCTCTGTCCCTATCAGCTAATGGTGTGGTGGTGGCATACTGCAACATGTGTGTTTTGCTTAACATATGCCGCTATTTCATATCTCTGTCTTAATGTTTATCAATACTGTTACTTAAATAAACAAACCCTTTTAATCTGTTTCTCTAGCAGTGTTGACAGCAAGTGTGTTTACAGAAATTTCCCTTATTTCTTAAATAAAATTGCATAAGGCACAAAAGTGTTTTCTGTTTGGGGGTTGGCCTCTGGTATCGGCAAGATGGAATTACTCTAAAAGTGCATCGTTTTATTCCATAGATTATAAATGATGACTTCTCTTTGGTTATTTACGTTTTTATGTCCTAAACAAATATTGTGTATATCAAGAAGCTTTGGCATTACCTTAAGTATTTCCAGCAAGTAGTGGAGGGAATTTGGATTGGAAAGTACTTATAAAGGAGTTACTGACACATTAAATAGTAAAATCGAGCAGAAAGTTGGATGGAATTTTGCCTTCTCTGGCTTCTTGAAAAGTGTTTTCCATAGAGAAGTAATTAAATGCTTTTAACAAAATAAATGGTAAAGGTTAATTACAGAAGTGTAACATCCCTGCTTTTATCAAAAGACAGCTGACAGCACAGCTTCCTGGCATTCTGTAGGCGGTGGTTGGTATAGTTCTGCAGATAATATTAATTTCTTTTTCCGTAAAATAGAGGCTATAGCTGAGTGAGGAGAGGAAGATGCTCGACTTGTTGACTATTCTTTGCACAAGACTAAGCCCTGTAGAGTAGTGTGGTACCACTTAAATCACTGTGCTTTCCAGTTGGTAGAATATAGTTGTTTCCCTGTGAATGAAGGCTGGATTGTGTTATTTAGAAAAGGTAAGTGGGGTTTCCAAATGTGTTCCAATCTGCAGGTTGTATTCTGCTCTGTTATCTCATTGCCTATTTGTCACATTGGTTGCCATCAAGAACAGCATTTGGCTCTGAGATTGCTGGCCTCACTCTGAATTTCACTCATTTACTCAATGTTGCTGTTTTTCATGGGGGAAAACTCACATGGAACTGGTGGGCTCTTCTGTTTGTTTTTTTTTTTTTTTGGGGGGGGGGGAGGTCATATCCTTTCATCAGCTGTTTACAAAAACTAATAATTTTAAAATAATATTCCACCTGAATTTCCAAGGGTAAGAGCAAACACTTTAAAAATTCTTCCTCCGCAGTCCTCGAGCAACATATATGTTCCTAAAGAGGGTATTGTGAAGGTATTCTGGAGGATATGAGTGGCCAGTACCATTGAAGCAATTACCTTAAAACTTGAGGGTTTTTTCAGTATGCTGTTTGGTTTGTTGTTTTCCTCAGTGTGCAGTTGAAGAGCTATCTCCTTAGTTCTGATTCTGACATGATAATTTTTCCTGCCTCCTCCTAGTAACGAAGACAGTGTGTGCAGAGCAGTGTGATGGACGGTGCTATGGGCCCTACGTCAGCGACTGCTGCCACCGGGAATGCGCTGGAGGCTGTTCCGGCCCTAAAGACACTGATTGCTTTGTATGTGTGAGAATTCTCATTTCTCTTGTTCCTGGCAGTCACACTGCAAATTCTTAATGCTTTAATCCACGAAATTCACAATTTTGTCCCCTTTAATGTATTGCATGCACACTCCCAGATTTAGACTGCAAATTTTAGCATTTAATATTTTTCACATTATATTAACATCACTTATCTACTTAATATTACCCATTAACAGATTTATGAGATTTGTAAATACAGATTGGGAACCATTAATATGCTAATCTCTGTGATTTTTATTTTTTGCTTTTCTAAAATTAACTTTTAGAGGTGATAGAGAATTTTCAGAAGTATTTATCATTACATTTGAGCATGGCTTTTATTACTGCTCTGTGTGCTTTTTATTTGAAAGTCAAGAATACAATTTAGCTCCTCTGTGAAAGTTGTTCCCTATTACTGCCAGACTTGATTTAAATTCAGCTTTTTTACTGGGCGTGCTTCTTAGTGGAGATGGAAGGAAAGTGGTTTCCAAAATACTCTACCTCAAATGCATGCTACTGCATGTGCTTAAGATTAAAAGAGGAAAAGGCTAACTTTTTCCTTAAAAAAATAGGCAATCTGAACATACAGGCCTTTAGACAAATATGTCTTGTAGTCCGTTATTTATAATAGTGTAAGCAGCTTCAGAACCCAACACTGATCTCAAAAAATGTGTAGCTCATCACACTGGCTTGCAGAGACAAGTTTTGCTAATGTTTTCAGGGGAAGCAAACCTAGGCCAAAAGAAGCCTAGACCTAGAACATGCACAGAGAAGTGGATTTTCAAAGGTACCCAGGTGATGGAAGAGACAAATATCTATGAAGTTGGGTAGGCTCCTTTTAAAATTTGCCAGATAGGATTGGGAGGAAGGATCTTATAGTGTGGAAAATTGCAGATGTTTTGATAGTGTATCAAAACAACCGGCAAAAATTAATCTTTCCCTGGCTGGTCCTGAAACTTGCTCACTGTTCAGATATCGTTTGATAGTGATAGGTGTTGTGCCTCAAAAACACATTCTAAATGCTTTTCTTTCGCTGCTGATGAAATGCAGTGATGGCCTGACTTAACTGCTAACAGGTTTTACTAAAGCTGTTCTTTGTGGCTGGGGCTTTGCACAAGTAGATATTCAGTACGCGTGGTATGCCTGATCCAGCGCCCACTGGAAGTTCTGTTTTGGCTTTGGACTAGAGAGATGGGAAAATAACATTCTTTCCCATGTCATGTACGATCTAAATAGGTAAAGGAAAGAGGAAAAGTGCAGTTATTGTTCCCGTATGACTGTTGAGGAACATCCTCAAAGCTGATGTGTTGATGTGCGTCCGTTTTCAAAGGTTAAGGACAAGTTAATTGCAGCATAAGTTCTGTAATACTGCAGCCTGAAAGAAAATGAGTTAGACTTTCTGAATTGTGGCAGTTATGGAAATATGTATGCTAAGAATCAACTAGCATGTTTGTTCTGATCCAGCAGAGAAGCACACAGGGCTTTATTCTCATTCACTCCTGGCCCGAGAGCAATGTAAAAGAAATTCAGCAGGGGTCTGGCAATTTTCAGGACTAGTCATTACTTGCTTAGTACATACTGGGTGAAAAGTGTAACCCTTTAGGCTATAGACAACTGTGCTTAGCTTTCAGCTGAGATACAGAACTTTGTTTTTTCCCTGTGTATTTTCCTGTGCTTTCATTCACAAATTAGCAGCATTTAGCACCAAATGCTAGAAGTTTGCATATATTATGAAAGCAATTACAAATGTATACAAAGCATTATAGTAATAAATTAAAAGTTCCCAAATCTTCTAGATGAGCTTTTCCTGAGAAGTGCCATCTCTCCGAAGAGTATTGGTGTGCTTTACTTTATGAATTTGCTAAACCGCTATCAGAGGATTGTCAAGTACATGATAGAGTACCTTTTAAGTCAACAGCGGATGTAAAAAATGTGTTGAGGAAACAAACTAAATTAGTATTTATTAAAAAGCAAAAGTACAGTTTATGAAGCATTACAAATCCTTTAGCATATTATGGCAGCTTGCAACAGCATCCTGTTGTAAATATGGTTTTAATATTTCTAGCTAAAATTCATCCATCCTCCTCCATATGCTGCCATACAATCATTTGCATATTCAGTTCTAAAAGCAAGACAATGATCATCATCTGATATAACTGCAAGCAAACATGCTAAAGCAAAGTTTTAGAGATGTTCGTATCTTGCATTCAAAACCAAACTGGGTCTAAAACTTGAAATGTATAGGAGGGCCTGGTTGAGTGCCCAATGGAACCAGAAAAGTGACGCAACCCTATTTGTAGGGTAGACTTCCCATCCAGTTCTTAGTAAAGAACTAACGGACTATATTTATATGTGTAAGAACAAAAAAAAAAAAAAAAAAGTGGTTCTGTGAGAAACCGACAGGTTTTGTAATAGGCATTTTAAAGAACCAGAAAAGACAGGATCAGCAGTTTGGCTTAGCTCATGCTCCATATAGGACATTGCCTTCATCATGGAACTCCCTGTTTGTCCCTTTCAGCAGCAGATTTTGTCCTTCTCCCTTTGTTACATAATTAGCCTCTCCCTTATGACATCTTCTGACATGACAAGTAACCTCCCTCAGTCCTGCTGGTCCTGATCTGAATGGAGATAAGGACTGTTAGTAAAAGCAGCAGAACAGAGGAATCTTTTTCACTTTTCTCTCGGTCCCAGCCCTGGAGGGGAGGGGACACAATACATATGTTGGTATACTTGTTGACTCTTTAAAGATTCAAAACCATCTGTATTTTTTACAACCAGGAAAAGGACCAGAAGGATTCATCCCTAGACTAAAACTTCGAAAGCAACCTGGCTTGTGGAAAACAGATTAGTGGGGAAGCAGAATCCAGTAGCAGTGGTTGCTTAAACTGCTAGAGGGATCCAGGCCAGGCTACAGCTTTCATATTCATATGAAATTTGACATTTATGGTATGCTTTGTGAATATTACTCCAACATTTTTTTATAAGCTGTGGTTAAAACCATAGACACCATGTGTGGTGATAAAGAGTGTCAAAATCGGTGGGGTTTTTCTATTACTAATTATCAACCTTGCATGGTCAATTATTTTCCCTGCATACCATCACTTTCTTTATCCACACACTTGCCTTTTCATTTGTCAGGACCGTGTCCTCTGTCAGCTGTGGGTGGCTGAGCTTGAATGCTAGGTGATACAAAGTCCTATTTTCTTTTCTCAAGTGTGTGAAGCAACTGACCTTGTTGAACTTGCCACTTAAGGAAATTACCCCCTCCTGTGCTAGCTTAAAAGAAGTTCTTATCCCTCTTGCTTTCTAATTGGGAGTTTCGGTTTTCACCTGGATGATGGACTCCTGCTGTAAGAAATCTAAAGGTTGGACCTCTGAAAAAGTCATTAGACTGACTATGATAAATAGCTGTTCACTCTTGGCAGTTTTAGAATGTCCTATCAAGTTGTGAGTTAGTTGATTGCTAGCAGTAACAATAGTTATGAAACAAATTACCATGTGGTTATGTTTTTGTAGGAAGTGCTCTAGCAGTCAACTGTGTTTGAAATTAAGGGGGCTCAGTGAGCCGCTTTTATAAGTCATGTATTTGCCAAGATCCTAGCAAGAAATCTAAGTAACCAAAATGAATGTTAGAAAACTATATATCATATTTCTCACTGTTGCAGCAAGTCTGAACAATCAGGACTGTATTTTAAACTAAAAAAAAAACAAACGAAAAGCAGCTACATGATTTAATTGAGTATTTTTTTCTCCCTTGTTTTGCAGGCCTGTATGAATTTCAATGATAGCGGTGCATGTGTCACACAGTGCCCCCAGACTTTTGTATACAATCCTACCACCTTCCAACTGGAGCATAATCACAATGCCAAGTACACCTATGGGGCTTTTTGCGTCAAAAAGTGCCCACGTAAGTGCTGTGTTAGCTGCCTTTTCCTACAGTGACGGAAAGTTTGAGTTGCATTTCAGGAGTCTTACAAGACAATGAGAGAATGAGAGCTAAGTGCGTAGTGCAATATCTCAAATCACTCCACATGTGCTTGCAGCCTGTATCACTCAGTCATGTGTTAACTTAAGACAGTGACACTCTGGGTTGCTGACACTTTCCAAGTATCCTATACTGTAGTGATTTTCTTAAAAAAAGGGAATTCCCTAGGTTTCTGTTTTCATGACCACCACTTGTTACGTTCATGCTTTAGATCAGCATTTGTAAATTTCAGAATGAACTGTTAAAATAGTTAGTGGGATTGTAAAAGGGTAGAAATTTCTGTTCCAGAAAAGTGACAGCCCACCACCAGTACTACCTGGCACCAAATGCTTTCATGATACTGATGCCCTTTTCTTAACTTGGAATAATGATGGTTTGAAAGAAAGTTACCATAAATATTTTCTAAGCAGTTCTGTCCCAATGAGGAAAAAACATGCAATACTGACAACAATACAGTCTTAAAGCTCCAGAGTGAAATTAGAGGGGAGGAGGGAGTTAAAAAAAGAATGATCCCATGCATGTAAAAAACACATGCTTCTGAGATGCCAGACAGATGATGACAAGTAACAGAAAAATTTAGTCATCACTTACATAGTCTTTGATACTTGTTGTTTTAGTTAGAAAGAAAAATAAGGGAGACAGCATTCTTGCTCTCCCTTTCATTCCCACCAAGGTTTACAGTTCTGTTGTGCATTAATTATACTATACATAAATTACATATAAGAAGGATGAGTAATCTATAATAAATGGAACCATAATTCAACCCAAAGCAAAATCCAAATTTTTAATCTCTGTGATGTTCAAATTGACAGTAGGCTGAGGCTGTGACTGTCAAGGCTTAGTTCTGTCTCTAATAGAGTGGTGGGTTTTTTGAAGCAAGAGAAATTTTTACAAAACAGGTATACCATGCACTACTGTCATGGTTTAACCTCAGCTGGCAACTGAGCACCACACAGCTTCTCGCTCACTCCCCCTGCTCTGGTGGGATGGGGGAGAGAATCAGAAGACTAAAAGTGAGAAAACTCGGTTGAGCTAAGAACAGTTCAATAATTGAAATAAAATAAAATACAATAGTAATAATAATATACAAAGCAAGTGATGCATGATGCAATTGCTCACCACCCGCCGACCGATGCCCAGCCAGTCCCTGAGCAGCAGCCCCCCCGGCCAGCTTTCCCCAGTTTATGTACTGAGCATGACGTCACATGGTATGGAATGTCCCTTTGGCCAGTTTGGGTCAGCTGTCCCAGCTGTGCCCCATCCCAGCTTCTTGTGCACCTCCAGCCTTCTCAGTCAGTAGAGCATGGGAAGCTGGAAAGTCCTTGACTAGTGTAAGCATTACTTAGCAACAAGTAAAACGTCAGTGTGTTATCAACATTATTCTCACCCTAAACCCAGAACACAGCATTGTACCAGCTACTAGGAAGGAAATTAACTCTGTCCCAGCTGAAACCAGGACAACTACTTAAGGGATATGATTCTTCGTCCAAATACTTCATTGAACTTTTTTTCCTTTTTTTTTTTTTTTCCTTTCTTGACATTTTTAAGCTTTCAATTAGGTAGGAT